GAACAGGTTCCAAGATCCCGAAGATTGATTCTCCGAAGAAGAAGTACCCTCCGTTCAACGTAGGAAGAGTATTTGAGCACAATGATGAAGAACTACCTGAAGCAGAACCAGGTACAGAGGACATTTTCTGGGAAGATTCATATTCGGACATTGGCGATTCCGATGAGGAACAAGACATCTTCAAGAGCGAAGATTCTGGACCTCCAGAAGTTGCAGAAGCCCAGTTGCAGGAACTGGATCGTGAGGCAATGCTCACAGAGATCAACAGACTCACCGAGATGAAGGCATTGGCAAGGAAACCCTTGCAAGAACTCGAGAGAGAAGAGGAGAGAGAGACAGAAGAAGAAGAGAGCAACCAAGGAACAAAGTGGTTGACGACGAAATTCGTCTTCGATTGGCGATTCAGGAACGGCCGATGGATGCGGAGAGCTAGGTTAGTAGCGAGAGAGTTCAAAGGAGCAGAAGTAAGGAACGACACGTTCAGCCCAGCTACGAGCGCATCGTTGGTGAGACTTATCCCGATCTTAGGATTACAACAGGAACATTCCCTGTACTCCATTGATGTCAAGGACGCATTCTTGCAGGTCCCACAAAGGACTAGATGTGCATGTCAATTCCCGAAGGAATATGTGGATCTGTTTGGCGACCAGGACCCTAGTTGTAGGAACGAAGGTTTGTTACTGCTTAGAGTACTTCCAGGACAGCGAGATGCAGCACTACTATGGAGTGATCATTTTGCAGGAACCCTCAAAGAGCAGAACTTTGATAGGAGCAAAGCTTGCCCTACTTTGTTTCGTGACGACAGGAACAGCATACTTGTTGTGCATGTAGATGACATTCAGGCAGCAGGGAAAACAAGGCACCTAGAGCCCAAGCTAGGAAAGCTAGGAGAAACCTACGAGCTAAAGGTTGAAGGCCCCTTCTTGACAGAGCAGGAACTTGAGGTAGGAGAGTCACACCAGACAATCCGATTCCTTAAAAGGAAATTCAGCTACCACAATCACGAGCTCCACATCACGAGTGACCCGAAGTATCTTGTGAAGCTTAAGGAAGAACTGAAGCTTACCAGCAAAGCCTCGAAGCCAACTCCGTGCACCCAAGAGTCGCAGGAACAGGACAACACTCAGACCTTGAACCAGGAACAAGCGGCATCGTTCAGGAAAAGCGTTGGCATACTCTTGTATGTCAGTCAGGACCGCCCTGACGTGCAGTTTGCCGTGAGAGGTTTGGCCTCCAAGATGTCGGAACCAACACATGGTTCTTGGAAACACTTAGTCCACCTAGTGCAGTACATGTCGAGAACTGAAGGATACCATTTAGTGTACAGGAAAACGCCTAGAGGACTCAGTAATCTCCATGAATCCATCAGGAATGGTAACTACGACTTTACAGGAATAAGGCCCAAGGAACACCACCTTTTGGAAGTCTTCAGCGATTCAGATTGGGCAGGAAAGAAGGACACAAGGCGCTCAACATCTTCAGGAATTGTTTGCCTAGACGGTCAGTGCATTTACTCCTTTTCTAGGAACCAGAAGTCGGTTAGCTTGAGCAGTGGTGAAGCAGAGTACTACGCAGGAGCGTCAGCAGCGTCAGATTCTATATTGTTGAAGGAAGCAGTAGAATTCTTGACCAGGAAACAATGCAAGGTACACTTGTACATGGATTCTTCTGCAGCTAGAGGAATTATTACAAGGCAAGGTGTAGGAAGAGTCAAGCATTTGCAGATCAGGACCCTTTTTCTTCAAGACCTCCACAAAGAAGGAACAATTAGTGTTCACCCAGTAGGAACCAAGGAGAACACAGCCGACATAGGTACCAAGCCCCTTTCAGCGAAAAGGATCAGACTGTTGTTGCACTGGCTAGGTTTTCAGACCAGCGAGAACGAACCAGTAGGCAGAGAAGAGCTCAAGGAACACAAGGCCCAAACACAAGCTAAAGCAGTTGTAAGAATGATCAAGAGCCCAGGAACTTTGTCTTTTGCAGCTTTGTTGTTTGCAGGAATTTCAGGTATTTCAGACAGTCTTCAGATTCAGAGTTTCAAGGAACAGTGTCTTGAGAGTTGTTTTCAGGAAGAAGAGTTTCAGCCAGACTTTCAGGAACATGTTTTCTGTTGTGCAAGTGCATGTGAGCAGGACGGCATGTGCAGTGACACGAGTGCATGTGAGCTAGGAACGTCTGCAGGAACAGCGCATGGAACAACATGTTGTGAGATGCTTTCGCAGCTCAAGGAACTCTGCGGAACACTCGCGGAACGCTCAGGTATCCAGGAACTAGTTCGCCCGGTAGCAGAAGGTCAAGGAAACCTTCCAGGAACCTTAGCAGCCATGGAAGCAAGCGCGAGTTCGAGCAAAAGCACCGAAGAAGTGTTCAAGGAACTTTCTACCTTGAGAGAGGCGGCAACCGCCTTAAGGAACGCTTCAGAAGAAAGGAACTTGATCGCGGAGTCGATCAGGAAGAACACAGAGGAAGCTGCGCGTTTGCGCAAAAGCCAGGAACACGTGGCTGGTTGTGTAGAGTCCTTGACAGGACAAATCTACGACGTCAAGCACCAGGTTCAGGAAATGGCCGAACAGAACGACAGAGACCGGCAACAGGTCAAGGAACACATGGCCTTCGTCCTAGGTACATGTGACGCCGTAAAGGAACAGCTGAACCAGATGATGCAGGACTTCTACGAGCAGCAGCAAGAGGAACAAGAAGAAGAGGAAGAAGACGAAGAAGAACAAAGGAAAAGAGAAGCCAAGGACCGAGAACTAGAAGGTGAACTACGTCGTGAAGGACACGGACAAGGAACAGCACCGTCGAGAGCTACGTCACCTACGTCCCAGGAAAGGAAGGAATATTCGGACCGAGGCTACTTCGAGGGCATCCAGGAACGAGAGCAGGACAACGAGAACGAGAACGAGGCCTACGTCAGCAGCTACGTTGGAGGAGAAGATCCCGGGGAGTACCCCGATGAAGGAACAGCAGCAGCAGCAGAGGAAGAAGAAAGTGAGGAAGCAAAGGAAGAGAGAAGGAAGAAGAAGATCGCAGAGATCAATGCCAAAAGCAAGCAAAGGCTCAAGGAAAAGGAAGAGGAGAAGAAGCTCTTTCCGTACCCCTACGACTACGCCAGCGAATGGAAGGAATACTCCGAGAACGGCGAGATCTACAGGCAACACAGAGTTACAGGAGAAAAGCAGTGGGTCGACAAGGACTACACGTACAAGCACGAGAAGGGAACAAAAGGAAAGAAGGAAGGAAAAGGAAAAGGAAAGCCAAAGGCAAGAGCAGAAAGCACAGGATTTCGACCTCGAGATGAAGATGATCGCAAATACTGGGCAGAACAGGACAGGATCTCAAAGGAACAAAGAGAAGCAAAAGCAAAAGCAGAAGAGGAGAAGAAGGCAAAAGAGGAGCAGATTGCCAAAGCAAGGTTGATTCTGGAAGCGGCAGCAGACGAGCAGGAGAAGAGAGACAAGGAAGCAGCAAGGCAGGAAGCAGCCGCAGCCGCCGAGAGAAGGCGAGAGGTAGAAGCAGCAGCCAAAGCCAAAGCAGAGAGAGAAGCAAAGGAAAAGGAGGAGACCGAAGCGGCAGCAGCAAAGGAGGAAGAAGAGAAAGCAGCAGCCGCAGCAGCCAAAGAGGAAAAGGAAAGAAAGGAGCAGGAGAAGAAAAGAAAGGAGAAGGAAGCCAGGAAGAAAAGAGAGGAAGATCAAAAGGCAGCGTCAGCGTACATTGCCAAGAAGGAAGCAGAAAAGAAGGCAGCAGCAACAACAGCAACAGGATCAGGTGAAGGAGACAGGATCCAGAAGCTTGAAGAAATGATGAAGGAGATGATGAAGGAACGCAAAGAGGATAAAGAAAGGATTGCAAGCCTTACACAGGAGCTTGAGAGCAGAGGATCAGCAGCCGGGTCGCAGGCACCCACAGAACCTGACACAACACCAGCAAAGGAAGAGGAGAAGCCAGAAGCAAAAGGAACAGGAAAAGCAACAGGAAAGGAGCCACCGAACGTCACACAGCACAAGCAGAAGGAAGAAGACAAGGACGACCCAGAACTGTCCGCCAAAGGACCAGTGAACGAAGCATCGTTCATGAAAGGAAAAGGAAAAGGAGAGTTTGAAGGAAACTGGTTTGCAGTCTACAGTTTCCAGAACAGGAAATACCAGTGGAAGTGGAACGAAGCCAAGACACAGTGGTACTGGTATTCAGGATCAAAGGAAACAGGTTGGAAAGCAGCGTCAAAGGACAAGCAAGGAAAGGAAAAGTGCAAAGCGCAAGCAAAGATGAAAGAAGAGTGGCTAAAGGAACAGCTTCACGACCAAGAGGAAGCTAAAGACAGCGAAGAGGAAGGCAAAGTGAACTTCCAGTGAAGCAAAGGAACCGCGAGCAGTACTGAGGCCAGAGAGCCGAGGAAAGAAGCAGCAGGACACAGGAACCGTGGCACAGCCCTTTTTGTTTCTGTGGTGATCTAGGTAAAGTGCAGGAACGTCTTTTGTACAGTCGAGCAACCTTGGAGAGGATTGCGAGTGAACGTGCGCATACGTTTGCGATGAGGAACAGTGTTTGTTTTGCAAGTGAAAAGGAACTACAGCGTGTTTACTGTTTGTTCAGGAAAAGTCGGAGTCACCTCAGTCGAGGAACTTTCGCTAACTCCGAAGGCGGGGTGTTAAACATTCTGCCAGGAACAGTAACACAGCTAGTGCAGTACAGTTAATGTACAGGAACAGCCGTCACGCACACGCGACGTGCAGGCTCGAGACCCCAGGACACACCGTGCCCAGGAACAAAAGTGTCCGACAGTCTTTGTGGGTAGGAACCCTTAGTGAAGCCCGTTCTTTAACATGCGTCCGGAAGAAGATGTGTGTATGTTTATCTGTGTCTGTGTCTGGGTATGGGTATGTGTATGTGTATGTGTATGTACGTGTATGTAAGTATATCTATGAATATATGTTTCGTTTGACATTGTAGTGTATGGTAGCGCTGTCTAAGCCGATGCAGCAGCAGAGACGACTTCTGCCATGGAGCCTTCCGAGGAGCGGCGTCAGGCCCAATCTTCACTTCGAGGGTTGAAACGGATGGATATTGAGTAGGGTAGGTGCAGGGAGATTCCTTGGTCAGGTGCTACATTATGCTGCAGGCAAGCGAGGAGCTGCAGAAGCCTGCAAAACACGCTTCTTGCCTTGAGTCCATGGCCGTGCGGACCTGATCTCCTTGGCGATTGAGCAGGACGTGGTGTCGACTGTGTGGACGTAGTTATAAGTTTGATACAGCTGTTCGCAAGGAGATCGCGGTGCCATCTCCTCGCTTAGCCTTCTTTTTCGAGCCAGGGCGAAAGCACTGAGTGACAGGCAGACCCGACGGGCGCTTCTCCAGAGAAGGCCCCCGGGCCCGCAGAGAGGGGAGGGGCGGCCGTGGTGGCCTGGTGGCTGAGCTGTGCTCTGAGGTAACCAAGGCATTGCTCGCCTGGCAGAACGAGGACAAGGCACAGCGGCAGGCCCAAGAGGACAGCAAGTCTCCTGACCCCTGCCATCTTCGCAGGGCACCGCTCTGCACGAAGCTTGTCGTGCTGGGCACGTGGACGTGGCGCCTTGCCTCGCAGCAGCTCGAAGCGCGAAGGATGCAAAGCAATTGGTTGGCCCTCTGAAGCCTTCTGATCTCAGGTGCGCCTGCTGCTGCTCCGTGGGGCTCCCGCGAACGAGCGGGACGCTCTCGGCAGGGCTGCCTATCAGGTGAGGTCGGTATTCTGCGGTGGCTGCGCTTTCGTGATTGCCCGCGTTTCGGCGCAGGTGGCTGCAAGCGAAGGGCCTGCGGAGAGGCCGGGATCTCGCGGCGAGAAGGCCAGGCCCCGAACCCTTTCGCCGAAAGCTCGCAGGTCGTCCCAGCTTCGCGCGGCCTTCGAAGCCGAGCGCGGGGCCAAAAAAGGGCCAAGGGCCCCACGCCCTACGTCTCGGCGGAGTTTGTTTGGGTTGAGTCCGAGGCTGTTCAAGCGCTGCGCCCAGGGCGATCTGGCCGGGGCGACCCGACCCAGCGCAGTCTGTTCCGTGGGTCTCCTTTGGAGGCCGGCGCAGAGGCCTTGGCCGTTGGCGGCATCGACCTGAACTGCGAGCAGGCCTGGGCCTGCGCTGCGCTCGTACCAGCGCCGTGCCGAACGCCGCGCCGAACGCGCAGGCCGGCTACAGCCCCTGGGCCTGGGCCGATCTCTTTGGTCAGAGCTCCCTGGCAGAGCGCATGCAGGCGCGCTCTCCGTCCCTTCGCTTTGTGTGCGTGTGTGTGTTTTCTGTTTGGAGGGGGGGGGGGTTTAGCTCCGCGTGCTCTTTGGCCCTGGCTCAAAGGAGTTGGCTCACGGCGGCGGGGCGTCAGAAGCGCCGCTTCCGGAAGCGCCGCCGGGAAGCCCCCCACCGCTTTCGGGCAGTGCTCGCAGTGTTGGCTCCCTCGAGAGTGCTTCCGCTTCGAGCTCGAAGCCGAGCTCAGCGCCGAGCCGTTACTCGGCTGCAGCTCTCTTTTTCAACAGTTCACTGAACACCCCTTTTTCGAGGAACTGTGAGGGGCAGTGAGGGGGGGGGGGGGGGGGGCGTATTTCTCGAGCAGAGGAGGGGGGGGGCCTTGGCTTCTGCTTGAGTTTTCAAGTCGCAGGTCCAGCGCACCTGCCGCTTTGGCCGGCCATGAGCGCTTACCTCGACGAGGACGAGGACGTATGGCTGGGCGGCCGCCAGGTGGGGCAGGGGCGAGTTGCCCAGAAGACGTTTAATGTCTCGCCAGTTTTCCCACGGTCATTGAGTCATTGCAGGTGACGGTATTCATGCCCCTGCTGGACTGGACCAGAGTGCGGGGTTGAATTGGAGTACCAAACTTACAATTTGGAACGCCTCGCATCTTGCAAAGGCTGGCAGCCTCCGCGATGAGCTGTCTTTTTGCTTGCAGGCACAGTGACTCGAGCACCTCAGATTAAGAACCGAAGCCAGGCGGCCCAGGTAAGAGAGGTCTCCCTATCGGATCCGGCGGGTGTTTCCGATTGAGGCATCACTTGCTCACCACAACTCCGGTGCAGAATCCTGCCTCCCTGCTTGGAATGTGTTCTGGTTCGGGCTGTGCAGGCACTTTGCGGTGAGGGTGGGTGTGAACCACAGCTGCGAGTTCCTGGTGGCCGTCACGGTTCAGATCAGGCCCACGTTGTCTCGCCCACACACATCCACGCGCGCTCACTGCCCGTAGCTCGAAGGAGCTCCACGTGGACGTGTGGATGGACGAGAAGAGCGGGAGCGGAAGCTCCGCTGCCTACGAACTCCGCGTCCAGTCGTCGGAGCTCCACGTCACCGCGGGCTCCCTGCAGGCGCTTGCAACCGAAACCGGCTTAGGCGAACCTCCGCACAAGCTTTTGACTCGAACATCCGCACCGCTCTCCGCTCTGCGGAGGCCCTTTACGTGGCCTTGGAATCCCTGCGGCAGCTTCTAAAGTTCCACGCCGGCGCCGGGGGGAGCCTCTTGCGACTGCCACGGCTCCATGCTTGGGGGCGCCTGGGCCCAGGCCGGTCACGGATTAATGCAACGATTCCTCGCCTCGAGGTGCTTCGCCTTCTCTTAGTCTTACACGCCTGTGCTCAGCTCTGCACCGAACATTCTTGCGTGATCTTCTGCTGCTTCTGCATGCGAAAAATAGCGATCCTGCAGCCACACATGGCTACAGAATCGCAGGGTTTTCATGTCGAAGCATCATGAGTGCAAGATCTCCAAGGTAAGAAAAGCAGAGTTTTCTTTCTGACGTGGGGTGGTGGAGGCCTTTTTGGCGTCTTCCTGGAGCTCTGGCGCCTGGAGCCGCAAGAGCAGGTCCTGGCGCTGCGGCAGCTGCGGGGCCGGGGCGCCAGGCCGGTTCCGGTCCGGTCCGCTTGCAACGCGAGTCGCGTCGCGGAGCCCTGGGCCCCGCTCCGCGTTGCGAGGCAGATCTGGGCTCCCGTGCCGACGCTCTGCGACGGCGGCCTGGCTCCGGGGCCCCGCATCTGGCAGCTGCGCAGGAGACTCCGCTCGCTGTCTGGTGGCGGCGTGTCGCGTCCTGGTCGCGACTATCGGCGGTCTGACCACAGGACCTGCAGCGAGCTGGACGTGGAGCTGGTGCCCATCCTTGCGAGCAGCGCGAGCATCGAGCTTCTGGCCCAGCCGGGCGCTTAGGTTTGTGCTGGCGCCGCTTGGATGACAGCGAGCGTGGCAGGTTCCAGGGCTGCAGCCAGATCGGGTGTCGGAGCGGGCGCGCGCGCGTGCGCCTTCCCCCAAGTGCCAAGTTCTGTCGCAAACGTCAGGGAGCCGGCGGAGCTGGCAGCGATTTGGCAGAAAATGCCGGGACGCCCAGCGCCGGATGCCTATGGCCGCTACTATAACTAGCCTTTCCGCGGCGAGGATGGCCGCGGGGCTCCTGGTGGAAGGCGCTGGCAGCAGTGCGCGCCTCTGCGCCGTGCTCGACGAGGCGGGCCCCGGGCCGTGAGGTGAAAGGGCTTGGCGGCTTGGCAGCGGCTTGGCAGCGGCTTGGCACTGCGGACAGGCGGCCGCTCCCTCGGCTAAACCTCCGCTCCCGGCCAGCTCCGCCCGACGACTTGAGGACCAGGGGAGGGCAGGAAGAGGAGGCGTCCCTCGGTAAGAAACCTTTGGCTTGGTTCTGCCAGTGCAGGGTTCTGGTCTCTGTGACTGCCAGCTTTGCAAGGGTTTTTTGCAGGATCTCCTTGCCTGCGAGGGTGGCATCCCCTCTTCCAGGCGGAAGTCGCGAGTTTCGGCATTCGGTTTCGTTGGGGTTCGCCGGTTGAGTTTCGGATGCCGCGGTTCGGGCCCGGTGTGCAAGAAGCACTGCCAAGCCTAGCGCCGACAGCCGAATCCCAGAGACAACCTTCGAAGCAGACTCCGCTTGTGATGCCAGCTGGTCCCGTTTCTTATCGCCGCCTTCCTGAAACCCAGAGCACGCGATCCGCCCTCTCAGCCCTTTTTGGCTGTTTTTGCTATGATCTTGTTGTTGCTGTATTGTTGCTCCAGAAGTTAAGGCCAAGGCCACGGCTTGAATTTGCTCCAAAACGCTCAGGTTCGCTGTGCTGTTCGAGACTCGCTTGGAGGCCAATGCAGAGGTCCTGAACGTGAGGGCCGTGAAGGCAGCGAGTCGAGCAGGGCCCTTGGCTTGGACCCCGTCTCCGAAACGAACTTTTAGCTGTTTCCTGCCAGTTGCAAGCCCGCGGTGTCTCTTCTGGCCTGCTGGTTCGGAGCCCTTCAACTCTTCCTTTCCACGTTTGGCCTGCAGCTGAGATCTGTGTCTACCTGCCATTGCTTGTTTGTCCGCTTCTGTTGGAGGCACTGGCAACCTTTGCCAGGGACGGCTGCTGCCCTCGCTCAGCTGACACGGCAAGTACAGCTTGCACAGCTCAGCGAAGCCGGAGCCTCCACCCAAAAGTAGTGCGCTCACGATCTCGGGCCACATCGCTGAGGTGCTCCTGGAGGTCCCCGTGCTTGCACCCGAGCGGGGAGCAGAAGGAGAAGCGATTGCGGTTGCGGAGCCACGCTGCTCTCAGGTTCGGCGCGCCCTGGGCGGGTCCCGGCACTGCTTGGCCGAGCCCTGGCATGTGGCCCCGTCGGCGGTAGACGCTCCAGTGCTGCTCTGATCCAGGCGGCCCAGTTGGTGTCCCCTCTTCGCTTTCTTAGCAGGCGCGCGCGGCGGCACAGAGCTCAGAGCCCGCCTGCCCTGCTCGCAGCCCCGCTGCACAGGCGCCCAGGATGCGGAGGCCCTCGCATTTGCAAGTGCAGAAGAGCACACGTCGTGATATCGTGGCGAGGCCCTGGAAGCCTTGCAACAGCCATCCTCCAGGTTTCTGGGCGGGTCGGGTCCCTTCTGTCGGCTTTTGCTCCTGCCCGGCTGCCCCGCAGGCGACTGCTTCTCTGTGGTCTTGTGAAGGATGCCCGGACCGGAGCAGAGATGTGAAAGACGTGCGTGTCCTTGTGTCCTTGCTTGCAGCTCTTGAAGCGGAGGCCCCCAGCGAGGAGTTGGCGGGGCAGCCCGGGAAAATGGGGAGGGAGGGAGCGGCTGCGCATGGCCGCGCATGTGGCGCATGGCTTCGGTGGTCCGCGGTGCTTCGCTTTTCAGGCGCGGGAGCTCTGGGAGAGCTCGGCGGAGCTCCCCCAAACGGCGGATTCGGTCGCTTCCGCGCTCCGAGAGACGCCGCAGACGCCGCTCTCGCCCTCGGACTTCCTCAGGAGAGAGCGACTTGCCAGATCTTGCCAGCTTTTCCGCCTCGCTTAAGCCGGAAAGCGCAGAGAGCAGAGCGGAGAAATAACCGGAGCGGAGCAGTCGGAGAGGAGTCTCCTGGAGCTGCTGGCGGGTGGGGTGCCCGGTGCAGTGCCCTTTGGAGTAAAGAAACAACCGGTGTTGATCTCCGCCGCCCGGCCCGGGCCACCCCCGGCCGCCGCCCGGCTCCGCTTCGCTTTGGAACCGAGGCCTTCTGCCCCGCAGCCTCGACGAGGCGCAGTCCACAGTGCTGCGAAGAGTGAGGTCTCTAATTTGATTCTGAAAGAGTCTCTGGAAGATATTTTTGACACCGAAACGACGAGGACCGAGACGGCTGTATCAGCTCGGCAAACGCCTGCTCCTCAGCGGCCTTTCGGAGGGCCGGCTTCTGGAGTGCGGCTGCTTGGAGGCATGGTATGCGCACCTGTCGGAGCGTCGACAGCGGTTACGCGAGTTCCTCGAAGGACCCCCTTTGGTGCTGCACTGAGGATTGTTTGAAGTGTGCCGGTGCAGTTTGCCTCTCGTTGTAACTCTCCAGAGGCGGCCCCAAGGGCTAAGGCACCAAGAGACCAACAAACTCGTGTAGGTGCTCTTTGGAATCTCACAACCATTGCAATCTCGATTGGAAGCAGGACATGAAGCCGTGTCCCAGCACGAAAGGGCAAAATGTGTCGCGGGCTCGACATATGTATGTAGAAATCTAGAAATCAAATGTACACCTGGAAGGCAGAGTTTCCGCTCAGGAACTACTTCCGGAATCGCGTCTTCTTATTGCATCGGCTTTGACAGGAGTGGAGCGGCCGAGCAGCAGCCAGCTGCTGAGACGTAGTCTATGGCAAGCGGTCACGCCACGAGGTGGCTGCGCTTCAGCTGCCGCCTGCTCCTCCTGCTGGCTGGGGCCAAGGGATGCCCCGTAGGCCTAGCCTCGAGATCCCGGTCCTGCTAGTTCGGCGTGGCAGGCAAAGCACTGTGAGAAGCAGAAAGCAAAGGAGTCCAAGCTCCACGCCGCCCTGCAGGCTTGCAGGTAGTTTGCTTGCGAGCACGCGGTCAGACAGGAAGCTGCCACTTTTAGGCTCTGCCACCGGCCAAGGGCAGCGATGTGCCGTGAGCTTTGGACAGTTTTGAGAGGTAGGCAGGTAGGTGTGTGTGTGTGTGTGTGTGTGTGTGTGCGTGTGTGTGTGTGTGTGTGTGTGTCTTTGTGTGTGTGTGTGTGTGTGTGCGCGTGTGTGTGTGTGTGTGCGCGTGTGCGACCTAAAAGAGCGGGCGACCATACCGGCATTATACTCAAACGATCAACGCCCTGGCAGTCAGAAGGCCCGCTTTCCAGGCTTGCCTGGGACCTGGCATATTCGTGGATTGCCCTGGAACCCTCTACGCACCATGTGGCTATGCCTGCTGTAATCCTCCTGAGCGTGCTCACAGTTTGCCTTGGGTGGGGATGGCTGAAAAAGGCAAGAATATTTGATTTGCGTGGGGGGTCTCCTCCGCATTGGCGAAGCAACAAGGATGATCCGCTCGAACCTCGTGCTCCCCCAGGATGTCCTCTTCTCTCAAAGATATATCTTGGCCAGGATCGAGGAAGCAAAGACCAGGATGAGGATGGCGATGGTGAGGCATCGGGTTGAGCAGGCAGACCTGGTCCAGCTCATTGGGATAGGCTTTGGAAACCTGGAGCCCCAGCAGAAGTGGTGGCCCCACTTCTCGCAGACCTTGCGACGGAGGTTCGACCTGGTTCTCATCAGCACGTGCAGAAAGAGGCACCGGCCCCTGGACCTTGGATCGTTCCCCCCAGGCGGAGCGACCCACCTGCTCACCGTCACGGAGAACAGCGAGTTTGTGCGGCGGCAAGGTCACATCGGGTAGTGGAGATTTACATCCAGGAGGTCATGGCCTGCACCTTCTACCCGTCCTTGACACGGAAGCTTGTGCTCTTGCTGGCCCAAGCGTTCTCCCAGACTTTGCAGCAAGCTGCCGAGTGGGCTCGGATTAACTTGCCGCCGCCTCCTGGTATGGTCTTTTCTCTGCCGGCTAGCGGCCATGCATTGGCTGATGGTGGGAATGGATGGGATCGCCGACGACCGGGATGGTACACGTACTTCCCAGGGCACCGCTACAGTGTAAACACCGGCAAAGAAGCCAACGGAATCCTTTCCATCAAACAACCATTATGCTCGCGGCGAGCGGAAGGGGTATTCTGGGCAGTGTTTGGGATATATGGAGTTGGTTTATGTGCGGCTCCTAGCAAGCCCCGCTTTTGCTCGACAATCGCCAGTCGACACACCATGTGCTTCGAAGTGTTGTGGGTTTGGGTGCTTAATGGTCTCGTCAGCGAAGACCAAACTGCGAACGAGCAACCTATGTTTACATGTTGTGTGGCAACGAGGCTCGGGTGCAAGCGGGTCCGACGGAATGCCAGGTGACGCTTTGCTTGAGGGAGCTGCCAAAGACAGGCGAGGAAGAAAAGGCGAGGAGGAGGCCAAGTCGAAGCCAGCCCGCGGAAGGGCGGGAAAGTGTACCGAGAGCCGCATGGGCAAAGATATTTACTCGACTGAGGGCCGACGATGAGCCGGCCGGCCCACGAGCACGTCGCCGGACGTAGCGATCCACGATCGAGCCGCGCAAGCAGCGGGTCCAGTGAGGGCAGTTCGAAGTGGTTCCCCCAATGCCGAAATTTAGGATTTGTCGCCTTTGCTTTGATGTACGATTAGTTGCCGTTGAATTGGCCTTTGAAGTGGCGACTTGTTGCCGTTGCTTTGATCTAGAAATGATACCTCAATGCTAATTGTTACCGTTGCTTCGGTCTCGCAGTGATGCCCCAACGCTAAAATGTACGATTTTGTTGCCGTTGCTTTGGCAACGAAGTGGCGGCCCAATGCCAAGATGTACGATTTGTTGCCGTTGCTTTGGTTTCGAAATAATGTACGATTTGCTGCCGTCCGTTTTTCTCGAGGTGGTTCACCGTTGCTTTGATTTCGAAGTGGTGCCCCAGTGCGAAGATGTCTTCTTGCCTTTGCTGTGGTTTCGAAGTGGTCATGCAGTGGTGAAGATGTACCATTTGTTGCCGTTGCTTTGGTGTCGAAATGGTGCTCCACTGCTAAGATGTAAGATTTGTTGCCGTTGCTTTGGTCTCGAAGTTGCGCCCAAATGCTAAAAAGATGTACGATTTGTTGCCGTTGCTTTGGTATCGAAGTTTTGCCCCAGTGCTAAAAAGTACGTTTTGTTACCATTGCTTCGGTCTCGAAGTGGTGCCCCCATTGAGATGTAGGGTTTGCGACCGTTGGCTTGGTCTCGAAGTAACTCCTATGCTAAGATGAACGATTTTGTGCCGTTGCTTTGGTGTCGAAGTGGCGACGTTTGGTTGCCAAGTAGTGCCACAATGCTAAGATGTCCGGTTAGTTGCCGTTGCTTTGGTTTCGAAGTGGTGGTCAGCCTCACTAGCTGCGGAAAGGTCCGTTCAACCTTTGCGCTGTTTGTGTGCTCCTATCTGTCGCGCAGATGGTCCTTGAAGAACCCAAAAGATCCGAAGCTAGTGAGACTCCGTGCCAGAGCACGTCGCTAAGGGATCCCGATGACGCTGGAAGCACGGAGCCGGTGCCGGGAGTAGCCGCCGCTACTACTGGAGCCTTGACGGTTGCCGACGCCAATGCGAGCACCCGCACCGAGCGTGCAGCTAGGCGCCAACAAGAGGCTGGTGACAGAGAAGAGCTGGAACCAGATCTTCGAGTCTGCCGCTACAGCCATGGCTCCGCTGAGACCATCGCTACGTGACAGGGACCTCGCGAACATCCATGTCCAGGACGCTACCGAGTGCCGGGGCACAGACATCCCGGTCGAGCTACCTACACGGCCCTCCCATTTCCTGGATTTCTCCTGATCCGGGATCGAGACCGGTGGCCGCGAGAGGCATGGGACTCCAGAGTTGAGTCGGGCCCCCCGCCGCGCTGCTTGTGGGGTGGCAAGGACAAGGGTGGCAAAGGCATCGATCCGGAACGATGCCGGCCACCACGTTAATTAAGAGGTCTGATTAATCGCTGATGTCAAAGCCTTCACATTCGCACTTGTGGGATTCCCTTTGAAAAAGGAACGTCACCTCATCCTCTGTCGTAACTAATAATCGTTTGATTTGTTCATGAGGATTATCTAAATACTGCCAACTGTGTGGCTTGAGCAGTACGTAGGTATGAAGCAGAAAATGTGAAACATTCAATTGAATATTTGTTCTGACAGAAAACATGTATCGCAAATGCTACTTGACGATGAAACTGTAGGAATGGACAGCAACTGAAGTCTCATGGGTGAGGCGAACCGTACGGGAGCACAATTATTAGTGGCTGTGGCCAACGCGTGTGCGCATGAAGTCCGGGGGGCCTGAACTTCAAAGGTAAGGAGTGAACCACGAAGTCACAGCATGAAGGAGTTTGGTGTTTATGCTGAAACGTCAATTGGTTAATGTTTAGAGGAGGAGGAGACTGTATTGGTTGTGCAAAGTTGTTATCAGGATACTTCAACATTGGGTTCAGATTTGGTACTCGTAACTACCCCTTGATTGGTCACTCTCCGATTGCTATTCATCATGGTGAATCCCAATGTTCTCATAGCCGAAGCGAAGTGTTCTTGCTACAGTTTGGGGCTTTGATTGGTCAATTTCGGGAGGAGGGAGGCCTCCCGACCTAGGAAGATCATGCAGAGCAGACGTTTGCAGACGAGGAAGCCGGACGAGCAGAGAATGATTTGGTGCGAGAATATGATGATTCGACAAAGATCCAACTACCACCTGAAACACATGGATCCAGCAACTTGTGCGAGTATGCAAAAGCGTGGAAACGGAACCTCTAGAGAAAACAGGTACGAGACTGATCACGACATATGGAAGTAGAGGCAGAAGAACAGACAATGCTTTGATTATGTTTATTCCAACTACTTCAGAAGCGCTCGCGTCTATTTATGGTTCGTTCCTACTGGTTTCGTTCTTATGGTATAAACTTCCTCGAAGTGAAAGTCGTTCGTGTGGTTCTTGTGCTTTCATAAAGCAAGCTTTCACTGTGTTTGCTTTTGTGGCCGACGCGAGAGCGAGGGGAGTCGTCTAAGGCGGAATGGCTTCTTGAGCCTCTTGCACCAGACTTCCAGCGAGTTTGAGGACTGGCCACGGCCCATGGCCCACGGCCCACGGCCCACGCCACGTCAACCTTATCCGTTCGCAAAACCTGACAGGAGATCGAGACCCCTGAGTCAGAGGTGTCACTTCCTCTTCAGGCCGGGTTCCGTTCGGCCTCGTTCGGGAAAGCTGCAAAGTGCTGCGCTGCGAGAGGCTGCCCAGGCCAGCGCACAAGGGCCTAATTTGGAGCCTGGGAGCGGTATTTCGAAGCCGCGCTGCTGCATCCGCTGCATGCGCTGTGTTGCCGGAGGCGTTGTGGCAGGGCGGGCTGTGCCTCCCTCGGTGCGACGGGCCGTGACGGTCTTGCCGGGACGGCTCTTTCGTTCTCCTCCTCTCCTCTCCTCTTGTCCTTTCTCTGTGAGGCGTTTGGGTGCGGCCTTGGACTTGCCACCCTGGAAAGCTGCCTTCTGCACGTGAGCGTTGAGCAACGGCGATTCGATGAAAACATGAAGGGGTTGCATTTAGGCTGCATGTAGGCATGACAGAAATGTCGAGGAGTCCCACATGATTCGGAAAGAATCACAAGTTGACAATTTTTGAAAACTCTTCAGCTGCAAATCCATCGCTTTGTCGACACCACTTCGGAGGTAATCCCAGAAGGTGCGGTGCTTAGCGGTGGTATCTGCCACCACCAGCAGCCAACAGCAGCAGCACTCGCACCCGCACCCGCGCCAGCACCAGCACCAGCACCAGCAACAGCAACAGCAACAGCAACATGAACACATGAACACATAAACACGAATACACTAACAAAGCTTCACATCAACACTCTAAAACTCTAACACAGCAGCGCACAACAACCAAAACACACAGACACACAGAGACACACATAGACACACAGAGACACACAGATGCACACACAGACACACACAGAGACACAAACAGAGACACACACAGAGACATACACAGAGACAAACACAGAGACACACACAGAGACACACAGACACACAGAGACACACACAGAAACACACTCACGGACACACAGACACACACACACAGACACACACAGACACACAGACACACAGACACACAGACACACAGACACACAGACACACAGACACACAGACACACAGACACACAGACACAGACACACAGACACACAGACACACAGACACACAGGCACACAGGCACACAGGCACACAGGCACACAAGCACACAGGCACACAGGCACACAGACACACAGACACACAGACACACACAGACACACAGACACACAGACACACAGACACACAGACACACAGACACACAGACACACAGACACACAGACACACAGACACACAGACACACAGACACACAGACACACAGACACACAGACACACAGACACACAGACACACAGACACAGACACACACACACACACACACACACAGACACACAGACACACACACACACAGAGACACACACAGAGACACACAGACACACACACACACACAGAGACACACACACAGAGACACACAGAGACACACACACAGAGACACACACACAGAGACACACACACAGACAGACACACACAGAGACACACACAGAGACACACACAGAGACAGAGACACACAGAGACACACACAGAGACACACACAGAGACACACACACAGAGACAGAGACACACAGAGACACACAGAGACACACAGAGACACACACAAACAGAGACACACACAGAGACACACACAGAGACACACACAGAGACACACACAGAGACACACACAGACACACACACAGACACACACACACAGACACACACACACACACACAGAATGTCAAGTGAGGTTTCTTTATGCGACGGACCACCTGATTCCCAGGTCTCAAGCGACCACGCACCAGTATCTTTGGACACGTATCTTCATGCGCAGTATGGTCGAAGCTGAACGGCTCAAAGTAATCCCACCTAAACCTGTAGACCTGACTAAACCCCAACACGGCCTGAACCTGATGCAGACACCGAAGAGCAAGGACAAGACCAGAACTGTGGACTGAAGATTCGGCAGATTGTGGCAAACGTGCCGAATGCGTGTATGCTGCAATGTAATGCGCTTCAGGCTCAAGCACTGACTCACATGCACTGTTGCGCAACCACTGAGTGTTCTGATGGGGTTCTTGGCTTAGCCCCAAGCCATCCAGGTGAAGACATATAAGCACGGCGGAACCAATGCACAGCGATGACGTTAGAAAATAGATACGTTCAAAGTGCAGGTACACGGAGTTGATCAGACTCCGCTTCCCCCATGGTGGATAGCTTCGTTGGCACAGGTACCACCATAACCCTTTCCCCCTGCTGTATGTCCGAAACTCAATCTCGGTTATATGTAAAGTCGCAAACGGAAAACAGCTGCAGAACGTGAGGGGAAGGCCCTTGGATACAGGGTTGTCACGCACACACACACACCCCGCCGTAGCGGGGTGAGTTAATATGGCCAAATCAGGCGAAAACGATGAGCGTGTAGAGCAGGTAGAGCCGTTGGGTGAACTTGAAGAATCTGGCAATGGTGCACAAAACGTCGTTGAAGAACTTCTCGAAGAGGAGTTGCCAACTCGTGTCGTTGATATTGATGTCGATCAACATGGCGAGCGTAGACTTTGGGTGCCAAAAAACCGAGGCAAAGTTGCCACCGGTGATGGAGTATCATCTGTCGCATGGTGCAATGAAGACGACGGTTGGCAAGAAGTAGGGCATGAAGTAAACATGGAGGTGGTGCAGTCATGAACAGGCTGTACTGGTACCCGCAGATGGTGGGATCATAGTAATCCAACCGCTGGAAGGAGGGATTGAGTTGGCAAAGTCCATGGAGCGTGTCGAGGTATGGTAAAACGGTGCTGCGAAATGACGAAGCCCGCATTAAGGAGATTGCTGGGGATCCGTAGGTCAGGTGTGGTCATTTGACGAACTTGCCAAACGCGGATCTCCACCAGGTAGTCCAACCACCATTCCGATGGAATATCGGGTAGCTGCGGAGCCATGAGTAACAGAAGGCAGAAGAAGGAAAGGACGAGGGCTAACCAAATGGTAACTGAAATGGCTGCGGTGGTGAAATAACCGAAGATCAATAAAGACAGGAGGAATTCTTTGTCTCGAAGATGTTCAATCTGAGTACCCCGGAGCTTCACCGTCTCAGAGCTGGAAGAAGACCGTGGCGTTGTTGTTCTTGTTGCCAGTAAGGGTTGTCCGCTGCGATGGGTGAAGGAAGCGAGCCGCGGTGGGAAGCCGTAGATGTCCATTTGGAAAAGGTTAGGCAATGCGCCGAACACCAGCAGGTGGTAATCCAGGTCCGGATGAAGTAGGTCGCCATTGTGCTAGCGTAGGATCCCGGATGCGGACGCGCAAACAAAGTCGTGATGTAGAACGTAACTTCACATGGGTTCGCCAACAGAGTTGATTGCAGTATACGATGACGGACGGTTGATAATGGTAGATCGTGAAAACCGTGTTGTCGTGGTGGAACCCGAAGAAATTGTGGGCGCTCATCTTGTGATCCTGTAGTGCGGCAAGGAATTGTTGCCAGACGCCACATTGATGCCAAGAGCAATCACCATGATGTGCGGTCAAAATGGACAACGCTGATCGGGTGGTGCGACGATCATCAGCGTGAGGACGTTGGCAGTGACGGGGATCCAGTTGTATGACGGTCTGCATCTCGAAGTAGGGGAGGATCATAGGGAGGATGTCGGAGAATAAAGCCATTGGTGGGGGAGAGTCAATGCAGTTCGTACGGAAGGGGCTGCGGTGAAAAGAGCTGCGGGTCACCATGTTGACACGTAGTGCAAAGCAAAGGGACGTGTTTTCCAGAGCAGGTTCTCGGTGATACGTCAGGCAGTCAGGAGTTCACGAACAGAACGTCGTCGACGAGTGGAGCATTCGCGGAAAATGAGTGCCAAAGGGATAAGCTGGTCTTCCGGTAGATCATAACGGCGCCGTATTCGGGAATTGTCTGAAGCTGCGGTAGGTCCTCCTCGCTCATGTGCTATAATGTCCAGCATGATGCGGGCGCGGTGTCGAATACAGTTCTGGACGTCCTGAAAATATGGCGATGCGGGAGTGCATTGACGCCATTGTCGAAGCCATTGTTGTCTACGACGCTCCGCGGCGTCCCCGTGGAATGAGACGGTGGAGTGTGTGGTGCCCGACTTCGTTCGGCGTACTTGATGTAGTGTGTACCCATGTCCTCGTGGTGGTATTCGTGTTCGAGGGGCAACACCCGATGCTGGTATGTAGTTTGGCGTTGTAGTGGAGGGTCTCTTCGCTGGCGCCGAGCGGGTGGTAGAAGGTGCCCTCCGCGATCGTCTCGGTCGACTAGATGGTGGAACGTTGTGATGTTCGACGGTTCTTGTGGAAGGACCGGTTGTCCGTGTTATCGCAGTCGGGCGCGAGGGTGAAGACGAAGATGTCGATGATGACGTCGAAGAAGACGATTTGGTCCTAGAAAGTCGAGAGGAAGAAGAGGAGGAGGAGGAGGAGGAGGAGGAGGAGGAGGAGGAGGATGAAGTTTGCTGGCGACGTCGTCGGCGGCGTTTGCTGGGTCGTCGTGGTAGTAGAGAAGACGGTGAGGGTGGAGGGGTGCCGCGAGGTATAGAGTCTCCGTGAAGGCCCGAAACTTCTGTAGGCGGGGCCGTATTGTCCGCGGGGAAGATGTCAAGCTCCGAATCCATGTCGGGGTCAGATCGCCATGTAACGTCGTCCAGGAGGTAGGAGTCGGATGAGGAACCAGTCATGATTAAGAGCTCTGGCGGCTATTTGACCTAAAATGCCTGCGGACTAGGGTTAAAAGAAAGGGAGGAAGGTGTGGCCAAGGTCCGACACAGGCACGGGCGCTGGTTTTCCGGGTGGTTCACTGACCTGTCGCCAACGTAGTCCAAAGCGGCGAAGTACAGACCGGGAAGCGTCTTCCAGTGAGCGCTCAGAAAAACTTCGTTCACGGTAGAGCTGAATGAGTTCACGTACCTGAGGTGCAATGACGTCCTTGGGCCACGACAATCGGCAAATGAGATAAATCCGGGTGGTGAGGCCCTGAGTGTTCCTGCGCGTCGAAGACACCGAGCATGGAGAACGCAAGGAGATACTGTTGCGTGGAAGAACAAGTCGGATGGTGCGTTGTGCAGTGTCCACGATGGTGCCCAACAGTTCTTGTCCGGGGACATGTTCCAACTCCAAGGGAAGGCCATAGAAATGTGGGTGTAGGTATACTTCCTGAAACCAGCTGGAAGATGTGGTAGATGATGAAGAGAGGGGATCGTGATGTCGACGGGAACTGGTCCGTGGCGAGTCGGTCAACGATTCCAGTTCCGCATCCCAGATTCGAAGAAGGCAGCGATTGTCCACATAGCGGGAAGAGGAAAAATAGCGCGAGGTCAATAATTGGTCGCGGATGAGCTGGTGGAAACTGGCTTCCCACAGGGCTGCGGTCGCTCCGCACATTGACGGGGCCATGGGTGAACCCATGGAGGCGCCACGATGCTGTACCAAGATTTCTGTGCCGACTGTGAAAAACGAATGGCGTAGTAAGAACATGACCAACAAGGGTAGGTCGCGGAGGCATAGTGGTTTGTAATGTGAACCGGCTTTGCGATATCGACCTCGAAATAGGCGTCCGAGGGAGTTGCGGTCCCGCATGGTGATCTGTATATCCGTATCCAGCGAAATCTGTTGATGGCGAGCAAACATGTCTGTCAAGGACGAAATCGAGTGGTAGATGCGGTCGTGTGGAACAGAGGTGAAGAAACCAGATAGATCTTGCTGAAGTAGCTGAAGTTCAATAGTAACGGGGTTGTTGTGGAAGGCGTGTGTAAACGTGTGGATGATGGAGTGGACAGTAGGGGATACAAACTGAGGTGGTACGACCGTCTGGAGCATCTGTAGCACTGCGGTGGATAGAAATTTCGCAAGTGGTGCACACCACGTAATGGAATAGCTGACGATCGGCCGACCCTTCAAGAATTGTTTTGAAGGTTTGGGAAGCACATATGCGTACGGCAGAGATTCTTTGGGTGCAAGTGCCCAGTGATAGCGTGCGGGAACGTGCCGCTTGATGGCTCGCTGTATGTGTTCCGCTAACTGCATCGGGCTGGTGTCTCGTCGCCAAAAGACTGCAGGATCCAGAAAAGTTTTGGTCAAGATGTCGAAGTACTGTTGGGGGCAGAATCCATATGCCAAATGAGGACCATGATCAATAGGAGACACCACGATGTGCTCGGATCGTTCACGCAGGTTCTTAAGTTCACGTAGCTGTCTGCCATCTGGGCGCATCCGCAGGGTTTGCCCATGTAGTCGCCATTGGTGTGAAATAAAGACCTGCCAGCGAAGTAGAGATTGGTCAGGTTGTCGTCACAGTTTGAACCATCGGGTCATGGGGGCCACGGTGTACCTGCGAAATTGAGATTTGGTCAACCATCGGCCGTCACCCATGTTCTCCCGATATGTGGGTTCGCCCAGTACGACATCAGCCGGAGCTGCAACATGGTCTGAAGGTGTTCGTTGTCCTGGAAGTTGTTGACAGCAGCAGGGAAACGAGTTCTCTGGGTCCCACTGTCGCAGCCAGGCATGGTGATTGAACAATGTCTGACCAAGCGTCGGGGCTTTCTCTCGGTGATAGTGTAGCGTGGAAGGTGATGGGGAGGGAACCATTCCCGGTGATGAAGTATGTACCTGTCCAACCATTGTTGAGCTTGTCGTAAAAAGTCATGAGCCAACTGAGGTAGAGGAAGTAGTCGGTGACGTGGTGGAACATCTCCTCCTTTGTAGCGTAGAGCTAGTCGCAAGGCTTGTAGAGCACGGGTCTGATGTGGTTCGTCCACGAAGACGAGAAAGTGGACGAGCAAGTACAAATATGAAATCGGAGTGCTATTTCGGCGTAGAACTCGTTGTGAGAAGAACTTGAAGATCCCGTTGCTGCCGACGTATTGTATGATCGTGGCGAGCGTCTCGCGTTGCTCAATGAGGGAGCGGGTGCCAAGGAGTTCCGGTAGATCCCGATAATGTGTATATCGATGATGCGCGCGAAGAAGACGAGCTCCGTTGCCACCTTCTAAGAAGGTGACGCCGATGGGCACTTCAAGCTGAACTCCCAATTTTCGCAGAAAAGTGTATACGAAGGGTGCATTCAAATGTGGATGGTATGTGGAGATGAGGGCCTGCTCCAAAGCGCGGACTTGTTCTTCAGTGGGTCGGTGCTGTAATGTGATCGGCAGGTAATGGTCGTACGTACCGGCCGCGTGCCAAATACGGAGAGCGGGCTCGAAGAACGCCTGAGTGGCCGAACATAGTTGATTGTATTTCGATCGGCGGCTGACTTCCCGGTCCGTGACCGTGTGAATCGTGAAGCCAATATACCAACCTGGGTGTTTGTGCGAGACTTTGAGGTAGACAACGCTGGACTGCAGGTGGTGTCGTAGGGTGTACCGCTGGACGTCCAGGTTGTAGAATATGTCCTGAAGACCTCGATGGTTGGTGGTGGTGGCAAAACGTAGACGATGAAGCTGTAGAAACCGTAAAGCTCGGACCCAAGAGAGACGAGGGAAGATGTGATGCGGAAGGACTTGTCGAACAACCGGCAACGCTGCAATGTAAAAATCCAGAAAAGATCCGAGAAGTCTGTGTGGATGAGGAGGTAGGTGGTGACGGGTTGGAGGTCGTGAGGGAGGGTAAAGGCCCTCCTCACCGTCGTCTCCCAAGTCTTCGTCAAACAGGTGGTCAAAGCTGATGATCTCCAGGCAGAAGAGGAGTCGAAGAGGCAAAGTTTGCAGGGTGTGGGCAATATGGACGCGAGTCAGTGCGTATCTGCTCGTCAACCACTCATGGATGCGGGAGTCGGAAACCGGTGGCAGAACTTGTTCCAGCGTGCCTTCCAACGCGTCCGCAATGAGGTCTGAATCTTTGGCCCAGCCGGTGGGTATAGTGATCGACGCTCTAATCGGCGAAGACGTTCCTGTGGAAGAAGGTGTAGAAGCCGAAGGTGGGTGGGGACCAGAAGAAGAGGAGGGACAAGTATAATGTAACCGAAGTGGTGGCATCTTGTGGGTGGGATCAGGAAGACGGGAATGTGTAGTATCGAGAGGCGGCGGTGGAGTCCGTGTGATAGAGCATGAGCGTAAGTGGGTGGATGTACTGGTAGAACGCAGTGAAGGTGGGACAGGTGATGGTCGGGATGTCAAGGGTCTCGGTGTGTGGGGCAATGTTCGGGATCTCGTCGATGTAGTAGTGAAACCTGAGGATGGCCGAGATGCAGAGGAGGAGGATGAAGAAGAGAAAAGCTCATGACGTAGGTGTCGAATAAACTCATCTTCACGTACAGCAGGAGGGCGTACTTGTAACCTACCGTATGACTTCATTGACGAGAAGTAGTGCGTCGGTGGACTCAAAGGCGACGGGGTAAACGTCCCGACCGTTAGCAAAACGGCGATACAAGGGGTGAAGTGGGCCCCGATGTAAGAAGTCAATGAGTCGGTTGGTCTGAAATTGTCGTCCTCCACGTACTCGTTGTTGAGGAACACCATGTTGAAGTGGAGAATGGTCCCGACGCGGAGTGCGAGACCGGGACCGCTCACGGACCATTGGGTGTAGGGAAGCTAGAGACCATCCCGAGTGAAAATGGCTGCGGAAGGAAGAAATGCATCCAAATGATGGTGGCAGAACCGGTCGGTTTTCCGAAGTTGAAGACAGCAAGGAGTGTGGTCACAGAAGAGGGTGAAAACGTATGCGGCGGACCGGTAGCTCAGCTCGTAGAATGGAGATGGTCGTTTCCACGCCTTCTTCGTCGTCGAAGTAAAACAGCTTGCAGGGAGCACCGTGTCGTAGAGCGGACTGAGGAATGCGGGCGAGATGTAGTTGAATATGTGCAACAGAGTCCAGGTGATCACGTAGGACATTGCACCAATCCCAGCTGACGGCTGCAGTCGTCAGACAAATGAATAAGCTAATGTGTTGGAAGGAAACGCGAAAAACTGCTTCATGGTACCCATGCCTGACCAGTCGTGGTGCGGAGCATTGGAGATGTGCCCGCTGCATGGCGGTGACAATCAAGTCGGAAGACCTGGCCACCCATAAAGGTAAGTTGTCATGCCAGTCCGGTGTCTCCTCAGCGTCGTCGTGCAACTCTAGGATCACGTCGATGTACTGCAAGTATGACGTGATGTGCGCGAGTGAGACGATGGGGAAGGGAATACTCATGGGTGCAAGAAAATGGCTGCGGCATGTATCAGTGTAAGAAGACGAGCAAAAGTCAAGGGCAGAACAGGCTCTTTTGAAGTCAACGTCTCCAAGTCGGTGTGGCGCCTTCAGGTAGTTCAATCGCCGGTTGCCAAGACGTCCGGCGGGCTTCAAGCAGACTTCCGCAGGCAGGAGCTTCTCGGAGGATTTCAGCGTCCTTGACGGTGGAGATTTCTGTGACGCTTGTCAGGTAGGAAAGGTGGCGGTCGCCTTGAAGCAGCTGAAAGTGGGACGGGTGCAAATAACGTCGATGTCGATGGTAAATGAGTTCCGAGAGTCGATGTTTCACGTGGTCGATGAGCATGTCGCTCCAAGTATGAAAATCGAACCACTCTGCATGTGCACGGCTGTCAGCTAGGTCACAGCAAAGAAACCACGCCGGGACCACGATGCGAAGGCGTATCAAGTTGGGTGGGCTGGGTAGTCCGGCGGCAGCGGCGGAGCGTTTCGTAGCGCTAACCATGATGAAGGGCTTAACCATGTGGTAAATACGAAAAGAAACGGCTGCGGAACCCAGCGAAGCAGGTACATGACGTCCAACTGGAATGACACAGTGCGCAGTGTGTGATCTTTTCTGTCCGGGCAGCATAGGAAGAGTGCAGGGGTAAGTGCTGAACACGATGTCACGGATCCGATGCGGCAGCGGAAGCGGTTGAGGCAAACACGCGCCGGTGGTAGTGAAGGCATTGTCCCAGCAGCAAGTAGGAGCGGGCTCGTAGGCACCGTATCTGGGTTTGCAACAGCTCCATGGCCTCCCACGTATGGAGCTCGTGAGGGATCATCAACGTCAACACGGCATCAGAGAACCGTACCACGTCAGCGAAGGCGGTGCCGATTGGCAGCGCGCGCGGAGGAAGGAATGGTCCGCGCATACGAGGGGCAGGTTCACCCGGTAGTAGTTGAGAAGGTCGTGGTTGATGAACATCTCGGGTAATGAAGTGTGTAATGTTGCGGCCATGCAAGAAATGGATGACCTCGTAGTTCATCATGCGACTGACCCGAAGAAGTTGGGTTGTGACGTACAAGTCGAGCACGATCTCGAAGAGGCCGTGGTAAGAGTTATCAGCGATCTGTACGACTTCATGGAACATGTTGGCTGCCTCCGCCATGACCTCGTTCATGATGTGGTAGATGTGTGGTCGAGGTGCAGCTTGTGATTGTGGCACGAGCCAGCCACGCAGGAGCAGGAACGGAGATAGCCAAAAGTTGACCGGGACGTCGGTGAAGGCGAGAGAAATGGGCGCAACTCCGGACGATGACGAGACAACGGTAATCGAGGGAGGCAGTGCAGCGCGATCACGGCGGGACTCCCTGGCCACGGTCACCCATTCGCGGTACTCGGCAGTAGTGGGCAAGTCCAGCAACGTCTCCGGCACGAAGTTCGCCATCGGCGTGTCGAGGATGTGAATAAGCAATAAGCAATAAGACTGATACGGCTGCGGAAGGAGAACATCACGCAACATGACATGATGAGGGAAGCGGGTGACGAGAAGTGATAAACTCTTTGTGTCACGCAATCATCCGCTCCAAGTGGTATCCTGCAGGTGTCTGCTCTGCAGGGCGGTGCCGAAAGCATGAAGTCGTAATCGAAACAGACGGCTCCGAGGGACCTCTGTGCAATCGAACGCAGTCAAGTAGGAAGGAATGCCCAACCGGTAGGTCAAAGATGAAAACCGTACGATGCTCGAGAACTCCGATCCAAGTGGAAGACGTCGTCGAAGAAGGCTGGGAGGTTCAGAACGATGAGCGGGTAGAAGTGCCACTGTGGTCATGGAGCGAGCAAGGAGGTAGATGGCGAGTGCATCGTTGAGATGTCGGTTGGTGGCAGAGAGTGCCGCAATGACGCCGATGTCGAAGGTCAGCACAAATAAACCATGATAATAGTTGTCCCCGATGCGGAAGAACCCGTAGAACAGATTAGTGTGGCGGTCGATGAGTTCGGCCAGGCGGTCACGGATCTTGACATCATCGGGGTGTGGCGGGGCCTGACGATTCGAGGTGCATGTAGTGCCATCAATGGGAGGATGAGTCGCGGCCACGGCGCATGCAAACAAGTGCTGGTGGTAATCCAGAAGCTGGTGCATAAATCCGCAAGGGAGTGTGGCGAGCTGGAGCGGCATAGTGCAAGCAACGAAACCCCTAGCGAGAAATGGCTGCGGGAAGGCCCAAGCTTGGAAGTCGGTGTCCGGGCAGGCAGTGCAAGAGCCGCGGAACTATTTCACAACTCGATCACGGCAAAGCAAAATTGCACCAATAGGCAGTGTCCCTGTGCAAGCTGACAACGTGGAAGCGACGAGTGATGTTCAGGCACTGGGGGCAGTGGCAGGGACGGCTGCCGGCTTGAAGGTGGCGAGAACCGCGGTCATCGCCAGTAATTTTTGCTGATTGGCCTCCGACAACTTGGAAGCCAGGGTGACGGACAACCCCCAATCCACAAGAGTTTTGTCGAGGGGCGGGAGGACGCCCGAGGCAGCCTCGCGTAAGATGCCCTGCAGCTCGGTGAGCTTCGTCGTGTAGGATTCGTGGTGGAGTTTCAGGAGACTGTCAAGCCATTTCTTCATGTCGGTGGTAGAAGCGGTTTTGGGCGGATAGGACTCAAGAACAGCACGGCGATCAAGTTTCTCAAACTTTGCGAAGGAGTCGCGGAGCCTGGTGGCAGCGTCTGGCGGTGGGTTGGGCTCCGCAAGTGGATGAGGCAGGGTTTCAGCGCCCGTGCCGGCAGCGAGCGTCCGAAGCTGGTCGTTCTCCTGTTGCAATCGTTGAATTTGGTCAAGGAGTCCCGGTCGTCCTTGCGGCAGCTTCACCGTGGGGTAAGAGATCATTGATGGTCGAGGCAACCTTGTCGGCGACGTGTTGCAAGAGCTGAGCGCGATACGCCCAGATAGTAAGGTCGCGTGGACCTTCGGTGGCGACACTGTTGCTGTCGTGCAGCTGTTTGAGGACATCGGAGATGTCGTACTGTTCGGCTGATTTACGAAGCGTCCGTATAATAAACGAAGCCAAAAGAGCTTCTTGCCGCGTCCTGAAGATCTCGATGACGAGAGGGCGGCCAGCAGCCAGCAAGCGTACTATCTACGCTTGTCCCGCATTCGGGGTGAGAGATACCACCGGTACTAAATGAATTGGCATCTCGGCAATGCCGAGACGTCTGGTAAACGCAGTGTCCACGACGTTTCGTGGCAAGGGGAACCCACGGTCCGGGTTGGTGTCGAGGAACATGTCGTTGGTCTCCCAATTGGCCCCGAGTGGGTGGATGGCCTCATACCGTTCCTGAAGCAAGCGATGATCTCGAGCGGGAGGATTGTCTCGACGATCACGGCGAGGTTCACGTCGAGCAGGGGGTGCACCGGTGGAAGGAACACGGGAGTGATCATCATAAAGCGGATGAGCGGAATGCACACGGCTGTCGGAGTGTTGCAGACGGCGGTCTGGATCTTGAGGGGGACGATGTCGTCGAGCCGATGGGCGTGGTGAGGAGTACTGTAGGCGACGACGTGGAGGAGAGTCGTCCCTGGGATCTCGGTGCCGAAGATGTGTGGTCGAAGTATCACTGCGGTTGCGGCGATGATGCTCTGGTGTATGCAGGGCCGGGGTTCGGCTCCGGTGTCGTCGGGACCGAGGAGGTGAAGCCCGGCTGTGTGCGCGATCGTCCCGGAAAGACCGTGACCTCGGATGTTGCGTCATAGGGATCACCTCGAGAAGGTTCCTCACGTCCAGGTAGGCGATGTCGTCGGGAAGGCGGGGTGCGAGAGCGGTGTGGACCCATGAGGATGAGGCGCAAGGAGCCCACGGAAAGGGGCCGCAGGTGCAAAACGGCTGCGGAAGGTGAACATGCCTGAAGACCACAACAACGTCGAGCACAGCTTCTTTGTCCAGGTCACTGCATAGTGCGTCGTCAAAATCGCCCGAGTCGGATCAGGCCCAACTCCTTGTAGCTGGAGGGAACGAAGATCCAGCGTTGAAGTCCGCGGTCCACATAAAATGTGTACTGTAGTCCACGATCACGAAGGAGGGCCCGGACTGCATAGTATAAGCGCGAACATGTTGTCATCAACGAGACCACGACGCCAGGGTGAAAAGTGATCTCGGCGAGAGCATAGTGGAGATGGTAGTCGCGTTCTGTGCGGCAAGCCAGGGCTTGACCATGTTGCTCAGCAACTGGAAAGAGGCAACGCAAGGTGGAGTCAGGAGCGGCTTCACGAGCAGAGGCGTTATCCATCACCGAGTCCGGAGGGACCAAGGCGGTGCGTAAGCGAAGCTCCAAATGCGGCAATAACACACGGAAGAGCACGAAGGCTCGGTCAGCACGTCCAAATAGTCCAGCGCAGTAGCCGAAGAGGACGAAGTGAGGGCCGAGCAGGAAGAAGAAGGCGAAGGAGAAGTAGAGTGTGGGAGCAACATGGAGTATGGCGACGGAAAAGGAGCAAGGACTGGTGCAATACGGTAAATGGCTGCGGAACCTCCAAAGGCCACAGGAGAGCAGGAGCAGTGGAAGCACAGTGTTTTGCTCAGTTCCGGCCGACCGAGTACAAGGTCAGAGGTGGGCGCGACCGGTGGTGCTTCAGGAGGAGTAGCCGGTCCTGGAACGTGAGGCTGACCAAGTTCTTCAGGATCTTCCATTGAATCCTGATGTTGCTGTTCATCTTGTTGTTCTTCCTCCTGTTGTTCTGCCACCCGCAGGATCTGAGAGCGGAGTGCAGCTGTCGGCGGATCTGTACTGCGTGTGGAGGGTTGGTGGCGTCCGCGTTTGCTTTGCTTGGAGATGGCCGACTGGGGTGGTCGGTTGCCCAGCACTTTGTGCCGAGGCTGCAATCTGCCAGTCATGGCACTTTTATACATGTTTAAAGTGTAGAACACTGAAAACGGCTGCGGTATGGATCGACTGCAAGGTGCAAGGGCGTAGTGCTTGATGCAACATGAATGCAGCTCCGAGCACCGGTGCCTGTTGTTTTTCTTACAGCTGTCGATCGTTGTAGCCGGCCGCAATGTACAAATCGCGCATGGCTCGAATGGCGTGTTTATCTTCACTGCTGGGTGTGGTCACCCGTCGGACCATACGGGTGCGTGCCTCATAGCTGCTTCGTAGTGTTGCGCTGGAGGTGGCCGATTGTGGATGTAAAATGTCGGCCTGATGTAGGTTGCACTGGTAAGTGAGGCTGCTGTGTTGTGGGTTGACAGCGAAGCCCAGGAAAACATCTGCCGGTTCAGTTTCAAGCTGAACCGGTGGTTTGTAAAAGGTTGCAGCTGTGAGCTGTACAAAAGGAGGTAGTCGTGTCAAGTGTTTTGGTAAAAGAAGGACACGGTTGTCAACATATCTGGTTGCGAAAAATATCGCATGATCGTTGTGGGTGGTGCTGGGAAAGTGCTTGTGATTGATGAAAAGTTGCTTGTAGGTGTGGTGCCAACACTGTTCTTCGACTGCTACAACTATGTTGCACAAGGCTGGGCTGCAAGGTGAACCCATAGGTGCTCCACGAAATTGTTCGATGAGCGCAGTGCCCACCGTAAAGTAGTTGAGCATCAAAACAGCAGTGATGAGCTGTGGGATGTGTTGGAGCTGAATGCATAGCTTGTTGCCCGATGATGCTTCTTGTTGTTTTTGTTTGCTTTTGCCGCGGTGAACTCGATGTGTGGGATCTTTGTGTGAGTGATCGATGTAGAATTTGCTGGAGTGTAGTGGATTTTTCTGTCGGTACCATCGGGAGAGTATGCTGTAAGCCGATAGAAACCGGCTTTTGTCGACTGATGTGAAAAACCCGGCCAGGTCCTGATTGTACAGGACGTATTCTGTTGTATCGTGTAGTTTTTGTTTCTGTTGTAGAAAGCGTGCTGTTTGTTGTAATTGGGTGATGCCATCGCCCTGATGAAAAGAATCAGGACACGCCTGATGAGTCATCAGCTGCAGCACATCTGCCAGGGCTTCCCAAAGTTTTCTGCCCATAGTATCAATGAAGGCGACTATCGGGCGGCCTTTTGTAAAATGTTTTTTGCGTTTGGGTAAAATGTAAGCGCGTGGGATGCGTCCCCACTGCGGGAAAGCCCATGTGTAGGCAGGTAAGAGAGCGCAGATGTCTGTGTAGACATCAAAGTGATGCGTTAGTGGCTGGTGTGGTGAGATCTTGAAGATCTCTTTGTCGAGAAATGTTTTGTGGATGGCGCTGTGATACAGTGCTGGGCAGTACCATGTAAGTCTGTTAGGAAAGTGATCTTCACAGTGGATAATGCCCTCAGGCAGTTGTTGTACCTGCTTGACCGTCTTAACGTGAAGAATATTGTGTTGTAGGCAGCGGTCATTGTGCTGTTGTATCTGCTCTGACACAAATTGTTTTGCTTGTTGTGTTTTGAGAGGAAATCCGTAGTGTTTGTGCCAACAGTGGATGGCTCGGTAGAGCTGTGCTGCCAATTGCGATGGTTTGGGGAGGCAATTGCTTTTGCCTGAGTAAGCAAGAAATTGATGTTGTGGCTGTAGTTCTGCTAATTGAATGGCAATGTGATCGTTGTGGATGTGGTCTTTGGACACGCTAGATTGCAGTTTGGCGCACGTGCAGGGTGGCGGTGCATCTGCTTGCCACTTGGTGTGGGCATCTCGCCAATTGTGCAAAATTTGTTGCATGGGTGGATGTTTTTTGTAAACGGGTTTGGTGCTGGGCAAGTGAAGCGGTGGTATGTGTTGTTTGTGGTAGGTCAAGCATGACCGTAAAAATTGGCGTAGGTTGTTCGTGAATTGTGGATGTGAAAGTGCTTGTAAGTAGATGGGTTTTGTAACTGGAGGTGGTTTGAGTTTGCGCTTCTTGAACACAGTGTTCAAGGCTTTGTGTGCGTGTCTGCGGTCACGTCGTGGCAGATTGCCTGTTAGTTTGTGTAAGGCATAAACAGTGGACGTTGGAGTCTCTGAGCGCAAAAGGTGTCGTACCGTGTCGAATCTGGTACGTGTGTTTGAGCAAAGGTTGGACACGGTGGTCCATGCTTGTTTTCTTGTTTCAAAAAGTGGGGTTTTTTTGAAACCCCGAAAAGAATGATGTAGTTTGCCACGCCGCAGTTTGGCCCATAATGTTGCTGTGCCGTTGTGCTTGTTGTTGGCGGCTTTTGTGAAGCCGGAAAAAGCACCTTTCATGTGAGAGGTGAGGAAAATTGAGCTTGGATTGATGATATTGTATGAGCGTGTTTTCTGTGGCTCCCAGCTGAGTGCTGGAGATGTCTGCTTGTAGAGCAATGGGGAAGAATTGATGGTAGCATTTGTGCTTGTGCCACCATCTCAGAGATAGTTCTGCCTGAACAATCTTGTGTTGTTGTAGCTGCTTGAACTTGCGGTTGCGTGTGCTTTCACGTTGTGTCATGTTGTGGCTGGTGCTTCCGATGTAAATGTAACGTTGCAGATGTTGTTTTGTGCTGACGCGGCAGTAAACAACCTGTGGTTGTCTGAAAAATGATAGTGTGTAGGAGTGAAACGAGATGTTGGAATGTAGAAAAAGTCGTTGAAGGGTAGCGAAATGTCCAGCCTCTCGCTTGAGGTGAAAATACTGTACACGTAGTAACGTTGATAGGCCCTGCAGCAATAAGATGATCTGGTAAAGTTGTCCGGAGATGGGCTCGGCTGTCGGTGCAAGAATTTGTAGAATGGTGCTGCCTTTGTTGGTGATGCTGATAATGGATTTGAATTGTTTGCGAGAGAAGGGTGATTTTGTGTGTTGGGTGGATGTGGTGGTGGATTGCTTGTGTTGCAGAAGGTGTTGTCTTAGTCACTCTGTCATCTGACTGATGATGGCGACGAGTTTGACCAAAGCTGGTGACGCGAACTTGTCGATGGCTTTTGGTGGGATTCCTGTCAATCTGTGAAGTGCACCGCTGTCTGATTCTGCCATCTCCTCCGAAGTTTCCCAAAGCAAAGCTGAACAGTTTTATCCCGGAGGCACAAGAGTGGTTCGAAGCGTGGCAAAAGCGGCCGCCGTCTCTGCAGGCAGGACCCCTGCTTCTTCGTTTTAGATTGGTAGCGGAGCCTTATGCTCCAGTAGTCCTCTCGCTAGTGCGCAATGACGGATGTCCGAACTTCCTTCTACGGTTCTACTTGGGTTTCTTCGGGCGATGTTCCTCCCGGACCTAGTGACGATTCGCCGCAGCAACATAGTGATGGCGTAGCTGCTGATCGCGGCGACGCAGGAGATGGCCCTGTCTCTCATGATGTTCATGGGGCGGGCGAAAGAGACGACGACTGGACCAGGGACGATCCTTGGTCCAAGGGACGGAGTGGAGACCAGGCTGCCGCCTGGTGGGGACACTCTGAGTGGGGAAGCTACGCCCACTGGGATTCTCGAGGTGAACCTTGGGACACTCGGTGGCAGAACCACGAGCGTGTCTGGCATGATCGGCGCCAGAGCTACGGGGGGACCTGGGGGTCCACCTCGACCGGGACCGGCTCTGTACATGAGAGCCCCTCGCGAGACTACGATCATCAAGAACAAGGCGCCGAGGCCTGGAGGACGCGTGGTGGTGCTGCTATGCCTGGCGGACAGGCAGCCTCAGAAACTTGGCTGCGACCTGACCTCTGCTCCCAAGACCGGAGAGAGTGCCAGGGGGCCATCCGAGAAGATGGTGGTTCGCCGGGATCCTGGAAGCGGGGACCGAGGACATCGGGGCCAGTGCGAGGTCCTACTTGAGGCAGATTGCGGCTTGGCACCGCATGACGAGGATCGACTCTTCGAGGCAGGCCTTGACTCTTTATCAACACTTGTCGGGCAAGGCTTGGATTGATGCGGAGCGTCTCGATGTTGACAAGCTCGCCGGCGAAGACGGAATGGAGTACTACTTGAGTTGGGTTACGGACAGATACTTGGATGTTCAGGTGACGCAGATCGGCAGATCCCTCGGCGACTTCTTCCGCCGACTCCGCCGACAACAAGGCCAGTCTGTCCGTGACTACATGAGCGACTACGATCGAGCGTTGGCGAGGTTGCAAGAATGCGGGTGCCACTTACCTGATATTGCTGCTGCTTGGGTGTTTGTGGACAGGATGGCCCTGTCCGAGGAGCAAGAGCTGAACCTCCTGGCGTCCGTCCAGAACGAGTACTCTCTGAAGTGCCTGCAGCAGGCGGCAATAGTGCAGGACAGGAGCTTGCGCAAGCCTTGGGAGCCGAACAACAGCTCTCAACGCCAGGATCGTGGAAGCAAATGGTGGAGCTCTCGCCGCCCTCAGCAGGCGAACATGGCTGATGATGGCACCAG